CCCCCCACCCTGGCTTGCACCCGCCAAGGACCCAGACTGACAAATGACTCAGACACGCAAACACCAGGGCCTGAGCAGAGGCAGTGACTGCTCAGAGGTCGCTGGATCAGAGGCAGCTCAGGGCCAGGGTATCCCAGGGGGGTAGTGGGGCTGGTACTTGTGGGAGGGGCTTCCTTCCCCCCCACCCCTGCAGCCTCAGTGGTCGGCTTTGGTTGCCTGAGATGGCGTCGGGGTCCTCATCCCACCTTTGAGCCCTTGCTGTGCACCAGACTTTTAAGACATGAGCCGTCAGTCTTGAAAACTGAGGAGACCGGGGCTTCCCTGGGTTAGTGCTCTTCATACCACCATTATCAGGAATGACTAGGTAACCTGCTAATTATGTATGTAATCAGTGTTCATCCCGGTCACGTCACCAACCACTGGCACCACACACCCCTTGCCCCACGCTGCTCCCAGGGCCCTAGCCTGGGGCTGCAGAAGCAGTCTGTCCTGGAACCCCCGCCCCCATCCCAACTGCTAACGCCCTCTCCACCAACAGCCTGTTCTCCCCTGAAGCCACTCCTGCAGGGAGTGAGATTCAGGTGGCCCAGACCGCAGTGCCCCATCTCCTCTGCTGCAGACCCTTTACCTCCAAGGAAGAATGACACCTGTCCTGCTGCAGGTCCCTCCTGCTCCTGGCTTCTCGCTGTCAGAGGGGTCCCGGCTGCCACTGGCGAGACAAGAGCCACGCAGGCCTTTCTCATTTTCTAGCCAAAGTGTTGGCTCTGGGCCGATGCTGCTTGGTACCCTCCAATAGGCGGTACCCGCTCTGGCTCGGTCACCAGCCTGAGGGCAGGGCCTCTCCCCTGGGGCTGCCTGTCGTGGGTGCGCCCAGGTCTTTCCCTGCCAGCCCTCAAGGCCGTCCCTCCTGCCCTAGCTCTCTCTCTTCTCCGCACACCCATCTTATAATACCTGGGAACTCTGAACAGCAGAAGCCACCATTCTCCCTCCTCTCTTGTCAGGTTCATTCTCACTTCACCCCCTCATAAGTCTCAACCTGTGCCGTCCGCTCCGGCAGCCACTGGCCACATGTGCCTCCTGAGCACTTGAAATGCAGCTAGTCCCAACGGAGATGTGTTCTAAGGGATACAAAACGAACACAGAACATCTTATTAATACATACAACAATAACATCTTATTAATATTTTTCCTATCCATGACATGTTCAAATGATAGTACTTTAGATGTACTGGATTAAATATAACTTATTACTAACATCAACTTTACATGTCTTTTATGCTATATGACTGCTAGAACATTTTAAATCAGAGGACGAGAAGGTTCTGGCCATCTTCTTAGTGTCTGCAGCTGGGTCTCAGGGACGAGGGCAGGTGGTTGGGGGAAGGTGTGAAAGGATCCTGTGCTTTACCTTGCTGCTGATTCTCCCTTGGAGTATCTACTCTTGAACCCAGGCTTCCCAATTCACACTCTTTCTGTGGCAAACCTCTCTTGGGTCCGTTTGAGACGATCACATTCCCCCCTCCCTCTCACAGAGGTGTAAATGATGGATAGCAGAGACTTTCCCCTCGTAGGAAATATAGCAGAGTCCTGGGTCTGGCTGACTCCAAGCTCTTCCCAGACTAGCCAGGCAGCCCGTGCTGATCTCTCTCTCTAGTTCAAGGTTTCACGCAGACAGAGCATCCTGCCCTCAGTGGACAAGGGAAAAAACAAAAACTGTACCCCAGCATTCTGGAGGTCTGTCCCATCTTCTAATGAGCACATCTTTGCTTATTATCGGACACTCTTGGACGACAGGGGAGACAGAAACGATTCTATCCCCTAGCTAGCTCTACTGATGGCCAGGCCAGTAGGGGATGAGAAGAAGTACTGAGTTCCTATGGACCCTCATAGAGATCCAAGGGGCAAGGATGCTGAGGGCACTGACCTGCAGAGAGAGAGGCTGAGACCAGGGAACGTGGGCAACCATGGTCCAGTGTCCAGTCTCTAGGACAAGCCTGGCAGCTGGGAGCAGCTGCATCAACCAGAAGGGAGGCTGGCTGGTCAGGGGGAAGGAGAATGACAGAGAAGTTGAGCCGGTAGGGCAAAAGCCTTGAAGGCCATTCTCGGAAGTCTGGACCTTATCCGCAAGGCAATTGAGGGTTTCTGAGCAAAGCAGTGGCCTGTACAGAACTGTGTGCACGCTGGCGGCTCTGTTCCTCCTAAAGGGGTGAACCTGGAGGGGCTGAGGACCGACGTGGCCCGTCAGTGACTCACCTGGATGCCCAACAGATGTGGTTCGTCAAGGATAATGGCGAAGCCAGGCTTCCCCAGCATTTGGTGAGCCCTCTGTGGGAAGTTCATGACCTTATTTAATCCTTATAGCTATGCAGGGAGGTGGCACAGAGCAGCTGAGGACTGTTGGCTTTCTTGAAAGAATGAATGAATGAATGAATGAATGAATGGAAGTTAGTTGATTACTGTAACCCCTAGCTCTTACAATTATGTATTGGGCTAAATTGCACTGGATAATCCAGTTAATGGATTGAATTCTGAACTGAGGCTCCCCTTTGGAGGTGCACTGAGCCTTGCTGGATACGAGTTCATGGAGCTCCTGCAGTGAGCATGGGATGCTAAGAAGAAGAGGGAACACAGGGGGTGGGGGTGAGCGGGAGCAGGAGACAGGGCCCTGGTCCTGCAGAGAGAGGCCTGGCCCAGCAGCCTCAAGTCTATCCCTGCAAGCGCCCCTCCACACCTCTCCTGGATCCCCCCACAGCAAGCCCTCTCCAGCTGGCTCCAGCTTCCCTCCCGGTCCTGGAATTAATAAAGACTCTGAGCAGACTGCGGTTTGTAAGTCTGAAAGCCGGTTCCTGCCCACGTCATTGCCCTGAAAAGAGTGGGGCCCAGCTCTTCACCAGCACCTCGTCCTCCCCCCTCCTGGGAAGGGGCAAGCATGCAGAGGCACCCTCTGGTCTCCCCACCAGCGGGCACATCCCGGCACTGAGCCTCAGGCCCTGACCCTCCCCAAGGACTCATAATCTCCATCAGCTACCCCCAAAGCACCCCAAATAACACACCCTGGAAGTAAGAGCTGCACGTTTGCTGTGCAAACACAGCTGCAAGACAATTCTGCTGGCACACCCACCCTTCCAGACTCCTGGAGGGCCATCACCTGAGAGCGGGAAGAGTAGGGATGGCCCAGGGTCCCGAGGTGGCCCGCAGACAGCCAGCCCAATGGTTACTCTACAGACGGGAGTGGTGCTTGCAGAGCCTGTGGTGGTAACCGTGGCATTATTGCCAGGACTAGGATCGGTGAGCACGGAGCACTTGGGATCCAGCAGGCACAGACAGAACTGTAGGACCACATTTCATTCATCTTTACCATAGCCCTCCTAGGTGGCCATATTAACAACCACTTGACCTGTGAGGAAGCTGAAGCTCCGTGAAGAGGTGCGCCGTCCACTGGGAAGTGCTAGAGGCAGATGTGAGGCCTAGGCCCACACTGGAGCCCAGTGCCTGCCTCTGGCATCTCCGCTCTCGGCCACCCCTGGTGCCCTGCAGACTGCCGGGGCGCTCCTGGCTGGAGGGGGGTCGTTCACCTCCTTCCCTGGAAGCTGTGGTTGTGTCCGCCCCTCACTCTCCACCTGGGCGAGGGAAGGTGGGGAGAAGCTCTCAGACTTTGTGGCCTCGACTTCTCCCCTCCAGGCTGTGATGAGGGCAAGTACCAGTGCCCCTCTCCTACCTTCTGGCTCTCAAATCCCCTCTCACCTTCCCCCTACTCCTGTCCCCCAACCCCCAAGGTCCTCATTCTGCCCAGTTAGGCGGGAACAGTCCCAGTCCTTCTGGAAATGCTGGTCCCAGCTGTTTCAGCGCAGGGTCGCCCCCTCCTGGCCACCCGAGGAATGTCAGTCCTGGGTGTTCTGGGGCAGGGAGAGAACCAGCAATCTGGAAGTTCCCGTGTCTGGGCTGGGTGCCCCAGTGCCTAGTGTTGGGACAGGTGGGGGCCATGTGATAAATGGGGGCTGGGCCACCTACCAGTCTTGGAGGGCTCCCTACACCCCTGTGCACACGCAGGGCACCTTGGGGGTCCAGACTGACCTTCGCCAGACACTTGGACCTGCACTAGCCCATGTGTGGGACTGTGACCTTGATCCATGTAAATGGGACCCCTGTGGTGTGCCAGTATCTCCCACGTGGCCCCCAAGACACCCCAAGAAACAACACCAACAGGGTCTTAACTCCCGGGCCATTCCCCCCGTGCAGCCCCTCAGCCTCTGCAGACATGGATCAAAGACCTGCCCACCCCTCTCCCTCCCCCACATCCCCCAGCTTCAGGCAGGAGGCTGAGACCTTAGCCTCTGCAGAATGGAGCTGTGTAGTATGTCAGGGTCTCCCTCCCAGCTCCCAGGTGTCTCGGGGGACAACAGTGACATGACTTTGCCTTCTAGGCCATTCTGCCTGTAGACACTGGCCCTGGCCCCAGCCCCCAGCCCAGCCCCAAACCCCACTTCCCCAGATTTAAGCAGGGCCTGTCTGTGGCCAGGTCTGGGGGAGTTGGGGAAGTCTGGAGGGCCAGGGTGGGGGCAGAGGCGCGGGACAGCTGGCCTGTGTCCCCACACTGGGCCCGGGGCCCAGCCGGAGGGGCGGGGGCCTGGCCACTCAGGACTTGGCTAGGACTGGATTTTTGGCCGGGCTGCAGGGCCCTCCCTCCTGCTTCCTCTCCCGAGGGCTGTCCTGGCAGAGGCCCCCCTCACACTTTCTGGCGGGAACGGGGCCAGCAGTGAGAGAACAGCCACAGAGGGAAAGCAGGAGAGAGATGGGGAAAACTGTGTGTGTGTGTGTGTGTGTGTGTGTGTGTGTGTGTGTGTGTACGCGCACGCGTGAGCGACTATGTGTTCTAAGGGAAAAAAAAAAAGCCCACAGTCCAGTCCACTCAGACCCAGCCTGGGAGGATTGCGAGGCGGCCTTTCGTAATTGCCCCCCCTCCTCCCGGCGGCCCCCTCCCCCAGGCCTCCCCCTTCTCAGGCCCTCCTGCCCGCCCTCTCTCCCTCCCTTCTTCCCTCGCAGCCGAGGAGGCAGCAATTACGCTTTGGGGATAAAACGAGGCGCGGAGAGCAGGCTGGGGCATTTCTCCCTGAGATGGCGGGTCCGACAGCTGCAGCCCTGTGGCCTGGAGTCCTCCTGCTCCTGCTGTCCATCATCCACCCCTCGCAGCCTGGAGGTAGGCCTCCCCCTGTCCCCGGAGCCGCCGCAGCCCTCCATCCTCCCGGCCAGGTGTCTGGGCTCATCAGTGAGAGGGTGCCTGCCCTTCATCCCCAGCATCCTCCCAGGGTTCCCCCGCAGGAGCCCGGCAGGCACGGGGTCCCTGGAGCTGCCCTTCCCCGGACCCAGCCCCTGCTGAGGGAACCTGTCACATGGGTACCCCCGGTTTGGGGTGGTCCCCAGAGGGTCCAGGTGCTGCTGCCCTGGGTGGATGGAGGGCCCCCTGCTCCGTCCCCGGTGCTCTCCTGGGGGGTGTTGGATGCATGCTGGGGAAGGACCATTCCCGCTGGGTCTGCAGGCACCTGCAGTTTGCACACCTGCGGACCCAGCCCAGGGGCACACGTGCCCTGCGGGTAGGGGGCCCGAACCAGAGAGTGAACTGTGTGACTTCCTCGGGTTCCTTGTCCCCGGGGAAGTCAGGAGCCCCTCCGCGGGAGGTCAGGGTGAGTTGATCGTGGGGTTGTGGTTGGAAAGCTGCTGCTGTGGTCTGTCCCTGGGTGAGAAGGACTGGGACTTCTGAGTGTGTGTGTGAAGTATGTGTGTGTGTGTGTGTGTGTGTGTGTGTGTGTGTGCGCGCGCACACACACACACGTGCATACACATATATGCATACATGAATGAGTGTGTTGCATGCTATTGCACAGGTGGGCATGGGTATGTATTTCAAAGATGTCATCAAATAGTGGAGAAGGTATCTGGGATAAATGTCTGTTCACAAGTTCATTCCTGGACAGGTGTAGGTGTGTGTGTGTGTGTGTGTGTGTGTGTGTGTGTTGTGGGGGGAGGAGGTTGTAGGGTATGTGAAAGTGCCTATTGGCATATGCAAAAGTCTGCCACCTGACAGGCTTATACACATGGGAGATCTGGTATCCAGGTGTGCATGTGGATGTGCATGTGTGTGTGTGTGTGTGTGTGTGTGTGTGTGTGACACAAGAGAGGACGGGGAAGCTGGGTAACGTGTCCATCTCCTGGCAGAGGGAGTGTGGCCATGGCAGAGGCTGGAGCAGACCTCAGGGCAGCCCTGGACCATCCAGGGTGTGTCCTGCCTAGGTCCCAAGGGCAGCCCGGTGGGGCGGCTACACCCCCTGGGGACCCTGGGAGTGACCCGCCACGGTGCTCCCGGCCCTGGGAAAAGGGAAGTGAAGGCTCACAAGGCATTTGGTGGGGTGTGCCGGATGGGGTAAGGTTCTCTTGCCATGAGAACCAGACCTGCAGTGGGGACCAGCACGGGGCTGCACAGGGTGGAGCAGGGCTGGGCAGGGGCTGGTGTGGGGGAGCGGGCAGGAGCGGCAGCTGTTTCCGTGAGATTGGCTTTCTGGACCAGCGCTGCTGGGAACGGGAGCTTCCTGCACAGAGGTCACCGGCCCCCGGACCTGAGCGGGGCCGTGCGACGTGCGTGCCATCAGGTGGAGCCCGGCGGGGGGAGCGAGGCGGCCCGGAGGACCTGCCACCCCGCGGCCTGAGAACAGCCGCTCTGGACCCGTCTGGGCCTCCCCTCTCCAAGGTGTGGCCCCCGAACACGTACCTGCCTTCCCGCCGAGCGCGAGGCAGCTAATCCCCACAGGAGCACTTAACCCTGAGCGTGAAGAACCACTGTCTTCGCTTCTCGAATGAGGAGCTTGAGGTTCAGACAGGCTGAGGCAGTGCTAGGGGCTTTAGTACCTGCCAGCTCTCTGCCCTGGGCCGAAGGATGAGGGGGTGGGGGCCGGGGGCCAGGCAGCACTTGGGGAAGATCAGGCCTGGGACTGAGCCCTCCAGGGTGGGCACGCCCCAGGGCAGCGGGCACCTTCTGCTTGTGCCCTCAGTGGCACTGCGGAATGCTCAGCTGGCCGTGTTCTTTCCTTGCAGACATAAATCACCGCTCTGTCCCAGGTGGCGGAGCACTGGGTCCAAATAAGGGCTCTGCAAATTGGTGAGGTATTTAGGGGCTTTGCCCAGAGCCTACCAAAATCTAGAGAGGTCAAGCAATAGGGAGGCTGAAGACACACACACACACACGCACACACATTGGACTCTGACTACGCTGGGGGAGCCCAGCTTCCCCCACCCCAAGACAGTGTCACCCCACGAGTTCCCCAGATCCAAAGGACCACGTTGTCAGTGGAGGCAGGAAGGAGGGGCTCCTCAGGATGACTGTGTAATGGAAAGGGCTGTCTAGACCCAGTTAGGATGGGTCCAAAGTAGCTTTGAGGTCCAGCTGTCTCAGACCCCCAAGAGAGAGAGAAGGGGAAGAAATCCAGCATCTCCCCATCCCCCAGAAATATTATCACTTTCTCCCCCCCCCCCCCCCCCCCCCGATTGCAGGACTGGGACAATTTGGAAGAGGGGCTTTCGTTTCTCTCTTTTTTTTTTTTTGGTGGGTGGGGTTGTGGGGGGAAGGAGAGTGTTCAACTCCTAGCCACACATTGGAGTTCCCCAGAGAACTAGGAACAATTCTGATGTGGAGGTCCCACCCAAGAATTCCTGCTTCATTTGGCCTGTGGAGGACCCTGACACGGAGATTTTGTCACCGGTGACTTCAGTGAGCCTCCAGGGCCCAGGACCTCTGGCTTAGGGGTTAATCCTGCTCTCCGTGTCCACTAAGGCCAAGGCAGGAGGGCAGGCGTGCCCAGCGCGGGATCCCGTCACCCACTGGAGGGCAGGTGGTGTGTGAAAAGCCCTTGGCAGCCCTTCTCCATGCCAACAACAAACAGCTCCATGTGGTCTTAGCTGCTCCCCAGGCCGGCCCTCTGGACCTGGGCTTGGCAAAGCCCCTCCCGAGGACCGCTGGCTCACTGCTGCTCCTAAACAACCTTCTCCCAGGTCTTTGAACTTGGAGCCCAAAGCCCTGTGTGTGACTGGGTTCAGCTATAGGTCCCAGGCCAGGCACTTCATGTCACTGGCTCTTGGTTTCCCTGGCTGGACAATGGGCAGAAACATCCCGGCCCCACTATCTCCTAGGGCTGGTGGGAGGCTCCGGCAATGAGACAACTGCCAAGAATGTATCAAGTAAGAGGGCTGTGGAAATGTGAACTTTTAAGAGGATCTATCTACTTATTCAGAATTTGCCAACTTGAGCTGATCAACCCTTGTAATTACTGCACATTGATAAGCTTAAATTTCCCTCTCGCTACTCACGCCATGGTTTGTCTAGTGGGGAGCAGAGTTCAATGGTGGAGAAAGCAGACAGGACTAAGGCTGGGGTGCCTGGAGGAGTCGCAGGAAACCGGGGAGGGCTTCCCAGCGGAAGTGGCATTTGAGTTAGACCTTTAAAGAAAGGTCGATATTTGAGGAGCTATCCTTGGATGACAGATGGGCCTCGGTCTATAGGGCCGTGGGAGGCAGAATTAGAGAGATAGATGGTCAGTCTAAATTGATCGGAGGGAGATCTCTCTGCAGGAAGAGCTGAGAGCGTCAGAGGTGGTGGTTTTCCTGTCACTGGAGGCGTGCAAGCAGGAGCACCGGGGGATGCTTGCAGAAGGGACTTCAGCCCAGCCCCGAAGACCATTATGATCCCTGAGAGTCGAGGATCATGACCCTACAATGCAGGAGACGAGTTCACCCTGGGCTAGCCAGTGAAACGTTCAAACCCACATAAAACATGACAAGCATGCTGCCGGCCAGCTACTCTGGGCCAGCTAAGCAGTGAGAATGGAAGGCTGAGAGAAGGCAGGAGGGAGGATCTGAGCTCAGTCTTGGTGGAAGGGTAGGACTTGGAGAGAGGAGAAGGCATTTCTGGCAGGAGAGACTGCCCGGGCCAAGGAGCGAAGATGACGGACCGAAGCGTGAGAGGTGAGCGGTGACTGCCGCCTTTTCCAAGTCCCTCCGGTCTTATCATGTTCTCCCCCCTCCTGCACTTGGAGAGAGAAGGCAGGCCAGGGCACCCTTTACGCCCACTGAGTGTCCTCCGTTTCCTCAGTGCAAACGGGGGATCAAAATCCGCAGCTCCCCAGGCTGTCATGGTTCAGGCACGGAGTTTGGCACAAGCTGCTGGGATTTGAATCACGGGGGTGGGGATGGGGAAGAGGAGATGGGTAGGCGCTGGGGAGAGAGGAAGCAGAGGAGGAGCTGGCAGGCCCGGGAGGGGCTTGGTCACCAGCGGGTGTGGGAGAGCAGAACCCCAAGAGAGGAAGGAGGGGGTCAGCCAGGCCCAAGGTGGGAGACCCCAAGGTTGGTTGGGGATAGAACAGAATGAACCCAGACCCACTGGCAGCATCCTCGCCTGCCCCCGCCCCCATTCACACATCATTTACTGGACGCATCCTGTTTACCTGACCCCAGGCCGTGTGCTGTGCGGTGATGTGGAGAGGAGGGGTCACCATCTTTTGTTTGAGCAATTACTGCGTGCCAAGTCCAGGGCAGGGCAGCTCAACAACTTTGCAAGGCAGCCGTTATCGGCCCCACCTGGCTGAAGAGGAAACTGAGGCTCAGAGGGGTGAAGTGACTTGCCCAAGGTCACCCAGATGTGGCATAGCCAGGAGTGGAGGCAGATGGGTCGTCTTGAGCCCCTTGTTCCCTCCACCCCAGGCCCTGCTCCTGCCATCGCTCCGGAGCTGGACAGGAGGGAGAGAGGCCGAGGCAGAGACAGGCCTGGGCTGCACCAGGGAGGGCACATAAGAAACAGGGCTCAGAGCTGGGGACCAGAGCCAGGGAAGGCATCAAAGGCTCAAGAAGGCCATGTGTGCGCTTGGCAACACATGACAGGGCCGGAGCGCTCGTTCCCAGCCGGCCCACCCTCCTTAGGCCACCACTTAGAGCCCCCGAGGCTTTGACCAGATTGCTTGCACGCTCTAGGCCTGGATCGCAGTTCCTGGGGGACGGCAGGCCCTGGGGGAGGGAGGGGGGGTGGCGCCAGGACTTTGGCACAGAGTGGCTGTGACAGCTTGGCATCCCTTACCCTGCCGGGCTGTGGCTGAGGCTGACAGGGCCCTGGGGCCAACAGGCCCAGCTGTGCAGCATCACCAGGCCACAGGGGCCAGATGTCTGTCCACGAGGCCTCTGGTCACCCTGCAGAACTGACCGGCACTGTCGCCCAGCCTGCTCCTTTCAGTGGGGCGATGCTGGGGCTGGGGCATTGGCAAGGAGACTTGTCGGGGTTGGGGCCGTTCTGTGGTGGCGGAGTGAGGGCCTGGCTTGCACCAGGATCCTCGGTTGCCATGACCAGGCCCAGCCCCACAGCGTTCCCCAGTGAGCGCTTCCCCCGGCCGTGGGGACTGAACTCGTGATCTCGGCTGGGCAGACAGCCCCTGGCCTGGCCCATGAACCCGCTTTTCCTTAGGAAACTATTCACTTTGCTCATTCATGGTGTCCCCCTCCGGGGCCCGGCGCCTCCCAAGACAGGCCCGTGTCAGACAGCCAGAGCCCCACCCATCCCCTGTTGCCCAGCGGCTGAGGACGCTGACCTCACGCCGTCCTATCAGTGTGGGAATGGCTGCGCTTTTACTGGCAGGGGCCGCACTTCCTTACCGCTCGCTAACAGCCCCGCCACAGCCCTGCTGGCCCGGGCCCACGCTGCTCTAGGGCTGGAGACAGTTGGCCGTTCGTCGACAGGCGCTCAGGCCCAGCCTCATGCCAGGCCCTCTCCGGGGAGAGGAGTTGCCTGAGTTTGAACCCAGGCTCCACCATCTCTTTCCAGCTGTGTGACCCCAGGCATGTCCCTCCATCTGTTAAAATGAAAATAATAATCCCAGCCCTTCCCACCTCACAGGGCCACTTTGCAGAGCATCAATGGAAAAGAAAAAGAAAAAATGCTTTGAAAACAAAAATTGCTTTGTGGATTTTCATCATCATCATCATCATCACCATCACGTTGCTATCATGTTTTTATTAGTTCTGGCTAATAGAGGACTCTGCCTACTTCCTTCCAGGGGTCCCAGGAGCTATTCCTGGAGGAGTTCCCGGAGGACTGCCCGGAGGAGGCTATTTCCCAGGTAACATACATGGAGCTTCCCCACACCCGGGAGAAGAAGCCTGTGGTGCATCCGTGAGAGATGCACATTTTGGTGTTGCAGAAGGGAGGAACACTGCCATGCCCACCACAGAAGACCCGCAAGTCACTGCTACTTAACAAAAGCAGTTTGCGTGACACCATTTTACAACTCTTAAGGGCATAAATCTTCTGAAAGATGACAGTGCTTTTGAGGCTCTAGGAAAGTGAGTGCTTTCACGCACGCCTGCCATGCACAGCCTTCCAACCGTTCACCCCACGCTGGAAATCCATGTAGAGGGGAAAATTGCAAAGAAGAGGAAAAGAATGGTCTGCAATGAGGTTCATAGGTGTGGTGTTGGCAAAACTGTAAAACAAGAAACCCACCCGGCGGGAGGGTGTGATTAAGTAAACTCTGAAACACTACCCAGTTGCTGAAAAGTATGAATATGTGATCTGTTGTGCAATATGGTGAAGTGTTTTTCAAGTAAAAACAATATAAAAGCAATGGCCATGCACCAAAAGAAAATGGGGGAAAGTTGGAGCAATGCCATTTAGAAAAAAAGCATAATGTTTTCAAGTAGATTGAAAGAACAAAGTAATATTTTCGATACTTAAAAGGTATCTAAGTGCTCAGAACTGACATGGAAGTGAGGGGTGCTACCAGCACACGCTCAAGCACAAACTAGCTCAGGGCTTTTGGCCCTCGGAGACAAATGAGGAAACTGAGGCTCACAGAAGTAAAGGCTTGTCTGAGGTCATGTAGAGAGGCAGGGATGGATTTGACCATGGGTTGAAGGGTGGCTTTCTGGCAGGGGCACTGATGTTTCTCTTTCTTCTTTCTCTCCCCCCCCCCCCCCTGCCCAGGGGCTGGTCTCGGAGGCCTGGGAGGAGGAGGTGAGTGCAGAAACCATATCTGTTTCCTCACTGATGGGGTCTCCGTGTCACTCCAGCCTACACAGGTCCTCAAACCTCAGAACCCCAGAAAGTCCAAGCATCAAGGGTTCCTTTTTTATAGACCCAGTGCCTCTTGAGGAGAGACTTGACTGAGAACTGGAACCGGCTGGCATCCCAAGCCCCTCCCCCAGGCTTTCTCTCTGATGGCCCCTGCCTTCTCCTCCACAACACTCCTAAAATGCTGGCTGAGAGAAAAAACCACAAATCAGGGATGGAGTTGGGTGCCTAGACACTGGGCTCCCAGCAGCTCCTTGTCCGGAGGGAGGGCTGCCCCTGACCGCCCTTTTAGGGCTTGGAGAGTAAGACCCCACCGTGCTCTTGCTTTGCCCTGAGGGTATAAATAATAAGACAGGGGTGCTGGGGCTCCCCGTTCACTACCATCTCTTCCTTCTGCAGGGCTGGGACCTGGAGGCAAACCACCCAAGCCAGGTAAGACCTGAGGTCTCAGGGCACTGATAGTGAGCCAGGGGACAGGGGAGGGGAGGCCCAGCTAGCAAGGGCAAGAGGCAGGAAGGAAGTGGTGGGCCGTACCAGTCTCCCGGTATGAGCAGGCTGGGGCCGGACCGCAGGGCTCAGGGACAGGAAGCTGGCAGCAGCTTGTGCGAAGAGGGTCCAGCATCTATTCTATAAGTGCCTATGTGCCCAGCTGCCCTGTTCCTATGCACATGGCCTCAGAAACAGCCCTGGGGCTCAGGACACAGGTAGGGGCTGATGTTCCAGAGGCCACCATGCGTGAGTGTCATTCTGGGACTCAGGCACAGAGGGTAGGCTCCAGACTCCACCTGGATGGTCTCTTGACTCAGACCAAGCCCTCTCCAACCCCAGGCCAAGGCCCTCCATATCCCTGACCCTTGATGACTATCTGAGCCCCTGTCCTAGAGTCAGAGCTGGACTGACTCCAGACCAAGCCTGAAATTAAATCCCAAGGTTGGATTCTGACCCTGGCCCCAGAGGAGTCTTGATCCCAGGCCCCTTCTGGCTGCCCAGACCATGGAGTTTTCCAGGAAGGAGCTGTGACTAGCTTGTCCTGGCCCTGCCGAATGGGACACCAGGGTCCACCACCGGTTCCAAAGAACACACCCCCAGGAAGGAGGGAGGGCGTGTCCTTCCAGGAAGCACGGGTGGATAAGGAGCAGGTGGAGGAAATGGTGTCTCTGTCCAGATGTGTGACCCCACTGGCGTGAGATACTCCACATGTGGCCTTGGCACCCCCACCCCCTGCTCTGTGTCTCCCTGGCTCTGCAGTCCGAGACTCTGGGACAGCTTGGGTGTCCAGCGGCTCTTATGAAACCAGCCGCTGGCTGGATGATCCAATTGCAGATGAATCTGCAGGACCCACATCCCCCTCCCTGCCAGCCCATCCGGGTTGTGAAATACCAGGGCTGGGCCGGGCCAGGGAGAGGCAGAAGGGCAGGCAGCCAGGGCGACGGCTTTCCTGGGATTTGGGGGTCAGCAAAGCCGGAGCCCTGGGAATCCACTGCTTATCCTGCTGGAACCTGCGTCCTGCCTCCTTGGAGGGACCTTCTCAGCAGGGTCTTTGATGGTAGAAAGAATGCCGAGAAGGACTGGATAGCCAAGATGAGGCAATAGGTCCATGCATAGCCAAGAAGAACCAAATTGTGAAGGTTGTGACTGCAAAGCTAGAGGGGGGGACTGACTGATCTCAGGGAGGCTACGGGGCAGGTTGTGATTAAGTTCAGGAGGGAAGGCTGAGAAAACCGAATAGAACCCCATAATGGGTGGTCACGAAAGTGAAGCTTTTATTCATGATTCATGTTAGGCTTCCGAAAGCACCCTCAGGGCAAGGTGAAGCAGTAGACCCCCCCAAAAAAAGTCAGGGTATCTCCTTCTGATGAAAAGGGTCTGGATCCCACAACCTCCCCGAGGTCATCAGGACTCAGCTACCAAAGCCAGGTCAAAGCCACAGTCCCCCTCCTTCCCTCGGGCAGTTCCTCGCTCCCATCCGGGCCAGGGGGATGTCCGGGCCTGCCCGGGGCAAGATGGAACGGGGCATGGGCAGTGTGTGTCATGCTTAGGAACAATTAATCCCTTGGCACGTAGAGGGTGGGTGGCCTGGCAGCTGCTCCATGTGGGCCTCGGCACGCCGGCTCTGGCCGGGCTCTCCGCGGGGGACCAGGCAGCTGGGAGCCAGCAACACCCACACCCTGAGCACCAGCTGGAGGCCAACCACCCACACGAGAGGACTGGAAGGGACGGGCCACACCCACTGGACACCCTGGCATGCTGCGCACATGAGGTGCTTTCTGCTCCTGATCTTACTGGTCCCAGGAAGGTCAGGGACACAGTGATCATTTCTAAGTAGGGAAACTGAGTCTCGGAAAGGCGAAGAGACTTGCTCCTACACGCATGGAGTCGGCATGAGTAGCAGCATTTGAATCCAGGGCTCTCTGATTCCAGGAAGAGAGGGGGTTGGACTGGCCAGGGCCCTGGGCTCCCTGCTGTGTGTGGCCAACATCTCACCCCTTCTTCCCTCCTTTCCAGGGGCTGGTGGACTCCTTGGGGGATTTGGACCAGGTGAGTCCAAAGGGAGGAGGGCAAACGGGAGGGGGCTGGTCATGGTGGAGGGCGGCCTTGGGACCAGGCACCTCGGGAGGAGGGTGGGAAAGGACAGATGGCACCAGAGAGGTTGCCTGCTCCCACCCCGACCTGTCCCAGCCTCTTCTCACTTCCTGTTCAGTTCCCATCTTCTCTTCCAGCCCCGCTGTGCTCAGGAAAGGTCCCAGCCCTGTGGGAGCTCAGGAAACAGGCCTGGCTTGAAAGAAGCCCTAGGCAGAGATGGGGAGGGGCAGGGCCCACAGTGCTGGGAAATGAACTCCCTGCCCCCAGGCCGGGCCTGACCCACACCAGGAAGGAAGATTAGCCTGGAAGGAAGATTAGCCAGAGATCGAGACCCATCTTACCCAAGGGGCTGGCTGAGTCTCAGAGGAGGCCAACTCACAGAGTAGGAAATAGCGGGGAAGGGGGGGGGGGGGGGGGGGAGACCACGCCCAGGGAAAGCCAGGTAGACGCTCCAGGCTTGGCAGTTCCCCGTGGCTGGGGTCAGTCCCCCGAGAGGGCTTCCCTGGGCTCAGGACCCTGACAGCCAGGCCGCCAGACTGGTCCTCGCAGCAGAGATTCTCACATAATTGGAAACAAACCCCGCACGCTTGTGAACCTGATTGCCCATCAGTCCTGGCCGAAGCCCTGGAATGTCTCCTGGAGGGGGGAAAGGAGCGATTGGGCCCAGATGTGAGAAGGAGAGAGCCAGAGGGACCATTTGACTTCTCATAAACATTTTAGCATCTGTCTGAATTCGAGGAGGCTCCTGGACTGTAGGCAGGCTGGATGGACACATAGACAGATGCTGGGAGCTGGAGGGTCTCCAGATACAAGGGAGAGGGGATGGGCTGAGCCAGGAGACACCTGCAAGGAAGCGGAAGAGAGGTCTGGGGTGGAGGCTAATGTGGGAGCCGGGCAGGGCCTGGCCTGGATCAGGTCTTGCTAACAGACTCTCCTCAGCTTCCACCCTCAGAGAAAGCCCTGCTGAGCCTCCCATTCACTGGCAGGCCTTCTAGGGGAAGCCAGGCCTGGCCTAGGTGCATTATGGGGGGAGGGGAATGGTCAATGCAATTACATCTACATGGCCCATAGCAGCTGGTCACTCAATGGTAGCTGCTGTTTTATCAGCATCAGCCCCTGAGTACCGAAGGCTTGAGTCCAGCGTAGGGTCCTGAGTGGCTGCACACTGACCACAGCCCTGCCTGGTTCCTGCCTGCCCATCATGAGACCCTTCCCACCCAGGACCCAGGGATGATGCCCACACACCAGTCTCTCCTCACCGGCTCTGTCTCTTCTCCCTGCAGGTGCCGGAGGTCTCGGCGGCGCTGGCCCTGGGGCAGGTTAGTATTGACACGCAAGCAAGATGTCCGTTTGGGGCCAGAGCCAGGCCAGGGTATCTGCCTGGCATGTGGGCCGGGCCAGCCCTGGGCGCTGGCGTGAGGGTGATGCTGAGACCACTTGCCCTAAGCAGCTTCCCAGGACACAAGGAAGTAATCGCTGCATCCTAAGTCCTAGTATAATGCAGGGGCCAGTGGAGCCCAGAGGAGTTGCTCAGCTCAGCAGGATTTCAGGAAGGCTTCCTGGAGGAGGGGGTGTGGAAGTTTGATCCCAAGCGATCCTGCAGTTTTGTCAGGCTGGGTAGAACCATCCGGCACCTGTTGCTCTCCAGCACTGATCCTGGCCCCGGGGCCACTGCTTGGCGTGGAAGTCCTGCAGAGAACGGGAGAGCCACCTCAATGTGCCTCCTGGGCGGGGCTGGGTGGGCTCAGGACCTCACCCTCTCCTCCCCTCTACAGGGCTCGGCGCTTTTCCTGGGGGCGCCTTCCCGGGGGCTCTGGGGCCTGGCGGGGCGGCTGGCGCGGCTGCAGCCTATAAAGCTGCTGCCAAGGCTGGTGAGTGTGACTGCCTGGGACGTGCCATCGACCCTCTCGCCTCCGTGGGCTCTACACTCTGCAGAGAACATTTCCTGGGGGGCGGGCGGGATTCTCATCTCTAATCTCCTGGGGCTCAGGGAGGCAGCCAGTCTCCAAGCGAGGAGGTGGCACGATCAGATATCATCTCTGGGCTCTCCGCATGCACCTGGACCCGCCCACCGCCCACTGCGCCTGGCATGACTCCTCGCCTCTCCACTCCTGGCTCTGTAGGTGCTGGGCTCGGCGGTGTTGGTGGACTCGGCGGGCTCGGCGGTGTCGGTGGCCTTGGTGGTGTTGGTGGACTTGGCGGTGTCGGTGGCTTAGGCGTGTCTACAGGTATGGTGGCTAGCCCTGAGTTGCCCAGGTAAAGGCTGAAGGCTGGTGACACCGGCTCTGACACGGTCCCTTCCATGCCAGGTGCAGCGGTGCCCGGAGCGGGAGTCGGAGTCGGAGCCGGAGGGAAGCCCGGGAAAGTGCCCGGTCAGTCTGGAGTCCCTGGGGCTGGACAGCAGGTTCAGGGAGGGGCTGAGGTCCTCACCTGTGCACTGGGCGGGACAGGTGGGGCCTGGCTGCAGCGGGGCAGGGAAGAGCGGCCGCCCCAAAGTGTGGGGCCCAGTTCAAAATGGGGAGAGGGACTCCAGCCCACATTCTGGGCCCTCCTTCCAGGACCTGGGGACAAAAAGGGGCCTCAGGGCCAGGCCCGTGGCAGACATCAGGGGACAGATGGGGACACTGAGGCTCGGCACGGAGTCAGGGCAGAGGGCCCTTGGTGGCCACAGCAGAGCCAGGGTGGCCAGAGGAGCCTGGACTCCCCTCGGCACCAAGCCCTTGAGGAAGTGACTTCAGGTTAAACAAAGGCCTGCCTGAGTCCACACAGCGGGGAAGGAGCATCTGGAAGCCGTTAGCCCAGAGGTGGGCCGGGCGGCCGTGTAAACAGGCTCCAGAAGACAAGATAAATCCCTGCACAGAAGGGTTTGCAGATGACTTCTGAAGCTCAGGGGAGGAAGGCTGTGGCCACAACACATGTCCCTGGCTGTCCTTGCCAGGCGCTGGGGGGGGCTGGTTTGTGAGCCTGGAGCGGTGGAGGGGGGGCCAGGGAGGGGCTGCTGGAGGCAGGGGCGCTGCTCATGGCTCCGCTGTCTTTTGGCCACAGGTGTGGGCCTGCCAGGTGTATACCCAGGAGGCGTGCTCCCAGGCACAGGTAAAACCACAGAGAAGAAGGGGACCCTCCTTCAGTATGGAGACCCTCTCCTGGCACTGACCTTGGGGCCTCTCAACTCCCTGCAAGCGGAGGCCACCAGAGCATCAAAGCTCAGGCTAAGGGACACAGGGGCCCTGTCCTCTTTCCCCAGGAAGGCCAGTCAGCTTCCCCTCATCCTACCAAGCTCTGGCCCCAGACCCTGACCCAGATCATGGTTACAGCCGGAGGTGGGCCCCTGGGGACACACCAAGTCCCTGGTGTAGCCAGCTGATTCCCAAAAGCCATGAGTCACCAGGGAGCCCGCCCAGAGCACATCCGCCCTGTAGGGGACCCTCAGAGCTGCCCTCTCACCCTCCTCTCCCTGCCAGGCCTGGCCACCCACCCAACATGTGACCGCTTGAATTCCCCTAAAAGCCCAGGCTTGGGCTGCTCTGGGAGATTTGCTGACAGTGTCCCTCCCTCCGTCCCAGGTGGCCCAGTCCCAGGGGAGACAGGAGAGGTGGGAGGGCCAGACACTGGCAAGTGCGGAGTCCCCGGCCACAGCAGAGGGCTGTGTGCTTGGTGGTGGGCACAGGCTTCCCACAGTGCTGGCTTGTGCTGTCTGCCTTCCTTGATAAGGGTGGACAGGGTGGCTGGAACTTCATCCCAGCGCAGGGACAAGGCCAGCTGAGGCATAAGGTCATATAGCCAGGAAATGGCACCAAAAGTCAGGTCTCCCGAGTCAAACAGGGAAGAGAAGCCACCACCACATGAGTTATGACATCACTGATGGTCAGTGCAGAAGGAGGTCAACTTGGTGACCCAGGGGTGGTGTGGGAGCCAGGTTGGGCCTTCTAGGCCTGCCTTCCCACCCTCACTGCCAGACCCCCTTTGCTCTCACAGGAGCTCGGTTCCCAGGTGTGGGGGTGCTCCCTGGGGTTCCCACCGGAACAGGAGTCAAGGCCAAGACCCCAGGTATGTGACCCGTGGGCTGGGGACCCAGGGTGGGAATCTGTATCTACCCTCAGGCCCCTGTGGAGGGGAGCAGGAGTGGGGCCGGGGAGCCTGGGCTCAGGGCCCTCTGCGTGGGCACCCCTGTGCTCCAGCCTTGGCACTGGTGGCTGAGATGCACAGGACACCTCTCAGAAATCCCAAGTGTGGGTGAGGCAGCATCAACCTGGAAATCTGGGCAGAAATGGCCACTGCCCAGCCCTCTGTGCTGCCTGGCACCACCCATGGGTGCCTCGGAGCCCTGCACCCGAGGCGGACTACAGTGATGACTCCTTATCATTGCAGGTGGAGGGGGAGCTTTTGCTGGAATCCCAGGTGAGACAAGGTGCTAGTCCCCTGTGGGTGGGCAGGCCAGTAGGGAGACCAGCCAAGGAGAGGCACTCACCCTGGCAGGGGCTGGGCATTCAGAATCCCATCAGGCCTGTCCAGTGTCCATCATGCCCATTGCTCCGGGAGAGAGGAAGCCCTGGATGGAAGAGGGAGAGGGACTGGCTCCAGACAAAGTGGTATCCATTACAGTTCTGCTTCCCCAGTCCAACCCTCCTGTGTAGCAGCCCACATGAGTCCAGAAAGCCTACCAGTCTGAGCCGCATGCTGCAAAGGGCTGCAGGTCCCAGCTGAGGCCCAGGCCCCAGGAAGGGGGAGAGTTCTGCAGCTTTCTGTAGGCCATGGCCCAGCACTGGAAGGGCTCAGCTGATCAGTGACAGCAGGCAGGAATGCCCTCTGGGCAGGATGCTTTGTGGATACAGCGGGGCTCATTCTATCTGAGCAGAAAGTGGAGAGTAAGGCTGGTGGCTCAGCGGGAGCTGCTGGCTCAAGTTGCTAGGCCCTGATTTTGTTCTCCTTATTCTCACAGGAGTTGGACCCTTTGGGGGTCAGCAGCCTGGAGTCCCACTGGGGTACCCCATCAAGGCACCCAAGCTGCCAGGTAAGTCAGAAGGAGGATTCAAGAGGCATGTCTCACCGGGCCTCACCACTGAGGAGGCATCTTGTGGGGGCACATCTTTGGTCACCGGTGTCTCTTGTGGGGGGTGTCAAGAAACCTGTGTACTGAACACCACTTCTGGTCACCAGCAAAGAAAAGCATGGGGAAGCCATCCTGCGGGTGTTGGCCTCACTCACATGCACACCTGTACATACACACACACACACACACACACACACACACACACACACACACACACGCACACAGGCACAGAGACCCACAGCCCTGATAGGAAACCATCGGTGCTGATGGTAAGAAACACTGTTCGTTGGAAAGACCCCTCAGACGTCACTCAATGAGCTGTTCCTTGTTGGAGAAGGGAGTAAGGAAGCTACTCAGACTCTAGGGAGCTGGTGGGGTGCCCCCTCTCCCTCTTCCACCCAGAGCCTCTGCTCTGCTGAGAGCAACCGTGGGCTGCCATGACCCCGGGGAGGGTCTCAGGCCTCAGCCTCTGTGGGAATAGATCTGCCACCAAGATAGTCGGAGCCCAGCAAGGCATGGGCTGTACTGGGGCAGCACCTGAGCCTCCCCTCCCCTCTCCGCAGGTGGCTACGGACTGCCCTACAGTACAGGGAAACTGCCCTATGGTGAGTAAGGCCCTCCCGGACCATTGGGCTTCCGGGTCTCTCCAGATGCAGGGTCCTGGCAAGAGCTGGGAGAGCACCCTGCTGGGTGGGGGTGGGCTTGGAAAGGGAATTCCCTAAGGAAGGAACGTGGAACTTGGACTCAGACAGCTTGGTTCTCAAGCCTGGCCCTCACACAAGCGAGAACCCGCCTCTTCCCCGAGCCTCAGTGTTTTAGTCTGAACAGTGGGAGTTACCATCCCCGACACATATATGAATATGTTTTAACTCTGACTGGGGGTGACATGGTAGAGACTCTGAATGGGTAGGGCAGGGGGGCTACTGCAGTGAGACCTGCACAGATGCCCACTGAGCCTCTCTGTTTACAGGTTATGGTCCTGGAGGAGCAGCAGGTGCCGGCGCCAAGACTGGGTACCCAACAGGGACAGGTAAGGGGCCAGCCAAAGGGGCACTGGTCACCCTGGCTCCAGGGCTCTGGGGCTGGCTATGATCTGTCCAGAAATCAGCCAGCCCACCCTGCACTCAGATCCCCATCTGAGTCGAAGAAGGATCCTGGGCGGGACCGCTCCACTAGCCTCTGATGGCTGTGATGCCCCCACCCACACCCACATGTGAACAGGTGGCTCTCCTCGGGCTAGAATGGAGGCCCCTGGAAATGCAGGGCCACATTTTTCAGTCTCTCCCCTTCCCCTCCCCCAGGGGTTGGTCCCCAGGCTGCAGCAGCAGCAGCTAAAGCAGCAAAGTATGGTGAGTACCTCTGAAGTCCCTAGCTGCTAGCTCCAGCCGCCCAACCTCTGCATCGCTGTTATCACCGAGAGCCTGCCTCACAGATAACTAACCAAGGCAGCACCTCACAGATAACTAACCAACGCAGCACACCCGCCTTTGTCCAGCTTTTTCAACCCTACCTATTTCGCCTTCCTCCATCCATTCATCTACTCTTCCCTCCATCCCTCTCTCCATCGTCCATCCATCCATCCATCCATCCCTTCATTCCTCCATCCATTCATTCCTCCCTCCTTCCATTCTTTCATCCATCCATCCATCCACTCACCATCTAATTACCCTTCACTCCCTCCCTCACTCCCACACTCCTTCTATCCATCCATTCACTCCCTCCCTCACTCCCACACTCCCTCTACCCATCCGTTCACTCCCTCCCTCACTCCCACACTCCCTCTACCCATCCGTTCTAGAGCCCAGGCAGGGACAGGTAAGAGCTCTGCTGCAGGCTGGAGGCATTGTTGTGGGACTCGAGAAGAGGGAGAAGTTATTTCCACTGGGGGAAGAACATCAGAAGGCTTCTCAGAGAAAATGACATTTGATCGAGGCCTTAAAACATAGGTGGAGTTCGCCATGTGGTTAAAACAGGAAGACGGAGCCCGTGCAGAGGGAATGGGTACTGTGGTGGTTAGAATAAGCATTTTAAAAATTTAACAGTTTAGTATCAATTTAGTGTGTGCTATAAAAATGTTAACTGGCTCCTCAAGCTCATGTCCCCTTGGCTGGCAGACATGGCTTGGCCTCCCCTGTGCCCATGCTGTGAGCAGAACGGGCATCTGTCCCCCTGTCCTAGGCAGTCCCAGCTCAAAGTCAGATCCCTGGGGCTAACATCCTCACGTTCATCTTCAGTGCCAGGGGAGCCCTGCGTGTAGCCATGGTGAGACCAAAAGCATCTGCCCGCCAGTGGAGGGGGCGAAAATGTGGAGGGCAGCATTGAGCGGGAGGCTGGCCCCTAAGAGGCCCCATAGGCTCTCCCTCCAGGCCCCAGGGGTGGAATGTGGGAGCCGGAGATTGGGACAGCGAGGGACTGCCAGAGCCAGGCAGCCAGGCGCTTGGATTACAAACTTGGCCGAGCCTTCGGAACACAAGAGGAAGCCTTGAACATTCCTACAGGGGCCCCTCTGGCCCAGGGAGTGGCCGCTTGTGGTTTCTCAGTATGTGGCAGTGATTAGAATGGGATTTGTCTGAAAACATACAAGTCCCTTAATGAGCGTGTTGAAATGGACACTTTGGGGGTGAGTCAATGAACAGTGGGGTGGGGGCCTTCTCAAGCAGGCCCAGCCAGAGTTGCCTGGGCTTCATTCCCAGAGGAGACTGTGCTGGTTAACGTGCCAGCATCCGAGTGGCCTTCCTTCCCAGCCTCAGGAGGGGCCCCGGGAGCTCCATCTGCACCGTCCCCATCCCCACAGGTGCCGGAGGAGCCGGAGCCGGAGTTCTCCCTGGTGTCGGTGTTGGAGGTGGCGGCATTCCTGGTGGGGCTGGTGGCATTCCTGGGATTGGAGGCATTGCAGGTAGTGTCTGTTCCAGCGGGGTTGGGGGTGGGGGTGTCCTGGAGAAGGCCACAGGGAGAGGCCTCACCCTCTGCGGCTTCTCTCCAGGGGTCGGGACTCCCGCTGCTGCTGCTGCTGCTGCAAAGGCAGCTAAATATGGTGAGTGCCCTCAGGGGAGGAAGGCTCGGGACTCTGGCCTGCCCTCAGGCCCTGGGAGCCTGCCCAGGACACTAAGAGACCTCAGTTCTCTCAGGCTGAATGGACCTGGCCTTTGTCCATCTGTGGAAACCTCCCTTCCACCTCCCCAAACATTCCTGTCTGGCCACTCTGCCTGGCCCTGCCTGTTCTTCACTGGTTGGCCCAGTAACGGGGGACCACTGTGGAGCATCTGGCTCCTTCCACCCTACTCCCAAGGCCAATCCACAGCTACTGCACCAACTGCCTGGGTGCTAGTGGTATGCTCTGAATTTGCTTTAGCCATAGACCATGTTCTTCCGACCCTTAGAATGCCAAAGACAATGTCAGCCCACCTGGGATCCCGCACTCAGGACCTGCCACCCCCACAGCTCCCCAGAACCATGCCTTGGAGGCACTTTAAGATTCCCACAGGGTTTAGACCAGAATAATCATTTTCTCCCACAGGAGCTGCTGGAGGCTTGGTACCTGGTGGCCCAGGAGTTGGAATCCCAGGTGTTGGTGGAATCCCAGGTGTTGGTGGAATCCCTGGTGTTGGGGGAATCCCTGGTGTTGGTGGAATCCCAGGTGTTGGCGGAATCCCAGGTGTTGGAATCCCAGGTGTTGGAGGAGTCCCAGGTATTGTGGATAGACCGAGTGAGCTGGGCTGTGTGTGTGTGTATGTGTGTGTGTTGTAAAGAGAGAAATGTTGACACTATTGCCAAGACTTTTGGATTCTCCCTAACACTTCACTCATCTATCCTCTTCTCCCATACCCTTGACCATGACTCATCTTCTCTCCCTTGGGCTGTAACAACCTCCTAACTAGTTACTGCCAGCATCATCTTCTCCAACTCACCTTCTCATTGCCACTGTGCTCCTGAGGAAAGGAACTATGTCTTTTTCATCTCTATGTCCCCAGTCCTTAGCTGAATAGATAGATGCTCAGTAAATGGTGGATAGATGGGTGGGTGGATGGGTGGATGGATGGATGGGCAGATGGATAGCTGGGTATATGGATGAATGGTCATGTGGATAAGTAGAGGTTGATGGATAAGAGGATGAAGGGACAGAAAAGGGATGAGTGAATACATGAATGAATAGATATATGAGTAAAATGGTGGGTGAAATGATGAATGGGTAGATGGAAAGACAGATGGAAAAGTAGATGAGGGACTACATAAATGTTTAGACTGATATATGGATGGGTGGGTGGGTAGATGGATGGATGAGCACATGGTTGGGTGAGCAGATGGGTGGTGGGAGGCAAATGCAAAATAGATGGTTAGACATGTAAATAGATGAATGGGTAGATACGTGAATAAATGGATGGATAGATGGGTTCATGGATGGACAGAGAGATTAGTTGAGCAGTTGTATTGAAGTCTAATGATAGAGTGGCAAATGGACAGACACCTGGGCAGGTAAGTGTGGGGGGAAGGTGAATGAATGGTTAAGTACACAGAGAGCTAGATGGAGATGTGGCTGAGTAGACAGATAACTAAGCATCCATTGGGTTGGCTTGATAGATAGGAAGGAGGTAGACTGGACAGATGGGTGGACAGTAGGATATATATTGACCATCTTTCCTCCACTCTCCCTTGATTATTTGTGTCCCCTTGGTCTCTCCAGGGGCTGTGTCACCAGCCGCAGCTGCTAAAGCAGCCGCCAAAGCAGCCAAATATGGTGAGTGTGTTGATAGCTCTGCCTCACCCTGTTCTGGCCAGAGAAAGGGGATGACTTGCCCAGGGTTACACAGCAGGTCACTGGACTGAGCTGGACCTGCTGGGCCCCAGGATGAGGCCCTGAGGCTGAGTAATAGGAGAGTCCTGTTATGGCAGTGGGGCTAGTGTCCCTGCCCCTCCCCACTCAGCCCAGACAACGCCCCTCTCAGAGGAGCCCAAGCCTGGCTGGGGCAATGGGACTGCCCGCGGTCTCTCCATAACCAGCAGCAAGGCCCTCTCCCAGTCAGAGAAGAGATGGGCTGCAGACATGCTGGGGGGATGGTTTCCATAAAGGTTTCCTGGAAAAAGCTGGAGGGGGGCCCAGGCATTCTATGGTTTCCTGTCCTTCAAGGACCAGATTTGAGGAGGGCTTGCTCCTACTTTCTTAGTCCACCAGCACCCCTCAGGGCCCTCACAGCCTGGCTCACTGATATCCTTTCCCATCCATTCTCTTCTCTCCGCAGGGGGCAGAGCCGGAGTGGGAGTTGGTGGCGTTCCCACTTACGGGGTCGGTGCTGGGGGCTTTCCGGGCTACGGTGGTCTCGGAGCCGGAGTCGGTGGTCTTGGAGCTGGAGTCGGCGGTCTTGGAGCTGGAGTTGGAGGTGTCCCTGGAGCTGGCATTTCCCGTGAGCCCTAGTTCCATCTGGGGAAACAGGGAGAAGGCATGGGGGCTTCTCTTCTGCAGAGCTCGAGGGGGTGGGGGGGTGTTGATTGGGCTGTCTGTACTCAGGGAGAAGTTGGGGAACGTGCAGGGAGGGCCTGCAGGGTAGGAGGGTGTCAGCACAGCCCCACTGAGACCCAGCAAGGTTTCTGAGGGTCTCTCTCTTTCTCATTCCGCAGCAGCTGCAGCCCAGGCAGCTGCCGCCAAGGCCGCTAAGTATGGTAAGTGCCCTGGCCTTGCCTGCCCCCATGCCCAGGGCATTGTCCTTCCCTCCTGGGCAGAGCCCTTCCCTCCTCTCAGAGCCTGGATCCCAGCCCTGCTCTGCCCTGGAGCCCAGGCTCTGAGCTCAGAGCAGTTCTCCAACATGAGGACCGAGCCAGCTTGCGCTCAGGCCTCCAGGGCCGAAATGGCCTGGGCCAAGACCCCCTGACCCCATCTTCCAAAGCCACACTGAACTTCCCTGACCTTTTCAATTGCCCACCGTTAGGGTTACTGGTGCCCAGCTTGTCACCCCCCCCCCCCAAACCACCGCAGCCACTCTGTTCCCTACCCCACCTTCGCCCTCCGCTCCCGTCAGGAGGGGAGCTTCGGGGGGCAGCGCTGACGCTCTTTACCACTCTAGGTGCTGGAGGAGCAGGAGGCCTGGGAGGGCTGGTGCCAGGTGCCAGAGGCATTGTACCAGGTGTGCCGGGCGCTGGAGGGGTGCCAGGTGAGCAACCCAGAGATGGGTTTGGTTTGCCTCGTGGAAGGGGCCCTGAAATTGACCCAGGTCAAGCGCACCATTTTATAGATGGCAAGACTGAGCCCAGAGATGGGGAGGAGGAAGAGCAATGCCCCCTAGTTTGGAAAGAAGGTCTTGTATGGGGTTCCAGTCTGCTGAGCAAACCTGGCAATTCTCCCTCGGGGCTGTCAGCCGGCTGGGTGCTGGAGCTCTGGCCTGTCAGGGCTGGGTGGCCTCTCGTATGTTAGGTCCTTTCTGTTCCTGACCAGGTAGAAAGGCCTGTCACTCTGGTTCCCTGCACTCTTCCTCCTCCACCAATCAGAGGCCAAAGGGAAGAAATTCAGAGTTACAATGAGATCAAGTCACAACCTTCCTTTGTTGCCCCACCACCACCACCACCACCATCACCACCACCACACACACACACACACACACACACACACACACACACACATTTCTATTTTCCTTCTTCTTTCTGGGAGAAAATGTCCCTTTTGAGTTTCTCTCCAAAATGAGACATTTCCTCCAATAGTTTTAAAAACTAACATGGCCTTTAGCAGAACGCTTCACAGATCCTTTAACAGAGGTTTGGAGACTTGGCCAATCACAGCTTTAGGCTCCCTCCCCCATAATCCATGCTAGACTGCCACAGTCCCTGAGCTGCTTGCAGGGAAGCAGCCTCACAGCAGGCCTGGAGCCCCTCCTTCTCGGGCTCCAGCGTAAGGAGGCAGCACAGAGCACAGAGCGGGTCTTCAGGAGGCATCGTGAAGCTGGGGGGAGGGAGGAAGAAGAGTGAGGACGGGTGCAGGGAGCCCCTCCCCAACGCCCTCTCTTTACCTCTCCAGGAGCTGGAACCCCAGCAGCTGCAGCCGCCAAAGCAGCCGCCAAAGCTGCTCAGTATGGTATGTGTCCCACCCCAATTCTGTCCCCTGTGCTCATCCTACAGCCCCGCTCTCCTGTCCTCTGCTCTGGGGTCTGGCAGTCCCCTCAGCGGTCACATTCTCACTGAGGGCCTTCTGACCCACCTGACCACTTTCGGGTGTGGGCAAAGTCTCTGATTAGGAAAGCAAAGTGAGAACAGGCCTGCTGAGACCCCAGAACCAACCTCCGCACCCTTCCCAAAGCCCCTACTGCCCCCGCATCTAGCTGGGGCCCGCCCCCCATTCTGATCCTCAAGATGGGTTCCTCGGGGTTCCCACCACCCTCCGTGGCAGTATTTCTTGCTCCCTGACAAGGTTCTCCATTTCTCAGTAGGTCTGAGGGCCACCCTGGCAGCCCCAAGCACCCACGCCTTCCTGAACATAGCCAGTGACAGTGAGAACTTACAGGTCTGCCAGGCCTGAGCCAGGGCATCTACGCACCTTGGCTTTAGGGATCTGTGGGCAACAAGATTCAGATCGAAAATCTAGAGCTGTCTAGGCCAGAGAAATCTTAATTTTAGGTCCACTGACCCCTCCAAACTCACATATGACAAACAACCCCTTTGTAGATAAAGCCGCTATTTGCTGAAGCAATCCTTACAGCAACTTTATGAAGGTGGTCGCATCATTCCCATTTTAGAGATGCAGAAACCGAGGCTCTCAGAGCATACGTAACTTGCTCACAGTCACACAGCTAAATGGTGGCTGAGCTGAACTTTGAGCCCACGTCTGCCTGTCTTGTAGAGCACCCTTGACTACATAACTCTGTTTCCACCCTCAGAAGTCTCAAACAGATCCTTGTCCCTCCAAAGGTTAAGAACTCCCGACCCTACACATGCCTCGTATTAGGGATGAGCAAGCTGAGACGCATAGAGAGAAAATGACTTGTCCAAGGTCACACACAGCAATCCTGTGCCCTAGCAGGGATGAAACCCAAAGCTCCTGGTGCCCAGCTTGCTGCTCTCTCCATTGGCTTCTGTCCTCCTTGGTGGAGACTGAGTTAAGGATTCATTCTTCCCACTCTTGTAGGGTTAGGACCTGGCGCTGGCGGGGTTCCCGGCCTTGGCATTGGCCCTGGCGCTGGCGGGGTTCCTGGTCTTGGCATTGGGCCCGGCGGTGTGGCAGGTAAGTTGTGTGAGAAAGGGGGCCTGAGGAGCCTCTGAATTCTCCATGGCCGACACCCTGACGCCCCCTCCCCCTCCGTCCAGGAGCAGGGACCCCTGGTGCAGGCAAATCTGCTGCTCAGTTGGCCGCCAAAGCCCAGCTCCGTGAGTGCCCTGCCTGGCTTTCCCTCCTCACCCCACCAAGTGCAGGCCGGCCCAGCACGACCCAGGCGGGAGCTGGGCCCCACAATAGGCAGGCTCTCTGGCCCACTGCAGGCTGGGAGGTCCCCGGAGCAGCAGGCAAGGGTTGGGAAAGCAGATTTAGCAAAGGAGAGACCCAGGTTCCAATCCTGGACCCCACAGTAGCGGAGTGACCTCCGAGTTTCCTGTCCTCATGCTTGACGTGTGGGTGCTGACCCCATCTGCTGCAGAAGGTTGTTGGGAGACTTACATGAGCTCATCCACGAGGGAGGAGTGGAGGTTGGGCGGGAAAGGAAAGTGGTGCAGTGAGTGTGCAGCCCTGAGTGCCCGCTGGGGGAGGGGCTGGACGTGGTGGTCAGCGGGAATTCTAGGAAGCCCATGCTGGTGGGAGCATAGAGGGTGGGTTAAGGGATGAAGGGGTCTGACCCCTTCTCTTGGGGCCCGAATCGGCTCCCTGGGTAGGACACCCCACAGGGGTCTGCTTCCTGCCTACTGTCGCCATCCCACTGCCCATCTTTCCCAGGGGCTGCAGCTGGCCTTCCTGCTGGCGTCCCAGGATTTGGAGCTGGTGCTGGCGTCCCAGGATTTGGAGCTGGTGCTGGCGTCCCTGGATTTGGAGCTGGTGCTGGTGTCCCTGGCTTTGGGGCTGGTGCTGGTGTTCCTGGCTTTGGGGCAGGTGCAGGTGCAGGTGAGAGACCTTCTAGCCTGGGCAGAAATGACCCCTGAGCTCAGAGAAGGGAGACCTCTCCCTCCTAGCACATCCCCAGCACCTCATCTAAGGGCTCAGAGTGATTCCCCATTAGGTTCTCCTGAGAGTCATGTGACTAGGGTGACAGATGGCTCAGGTCAGGCAAGGAAGCCCCAGGCTGCATGGGTGGGCCCACCGGGCTCGCCCTCAGCAGTACGCTGTGGCCACTAGGTGCGCCAGTTTTTCTCCTGGTGGTTGCTGAGCCTGAAGGGGTCTGGGAGGGGCAGACGGAAGGAGGAGGTGCTCCCAGACCAGATTGGCAGAGACATGGTTAGTGACTGGAGTTCTACCCAGGCACAGAGAGCTCCTGGCTGCGGAGCCACAGCTCCAGAGCTTTGAGAGGAGCAAAGAAGGCCAAGGAAGGCAGGGAGGGCTTCCAGGAGGAAGCAGTACCCTCACCCAGCACAGAGCTCAGATGCTGATTATTCCACATTTCCTTTTTCTTTTTTCTGCAGGACCTGGATCTTTGGCTGCTGCTAAAGCAGCCAAATATGGTGAGTGTCCCCACCCTAACCAGCACGGCTGGTTCCACTGCTGCCCCACCGTCCCTGATGTTCTGGTCACCCATCCCCCCTCCTCTGGCCAGACCCCATGCCCGGCGCCTGCAGCACTGGGCTGGGATGGTCAGCATGGAAAAAGGCAGTTTCTAGGACACATTCATGACAGCTTAGCAGACCTGGCCCCTGCCTACAAAATGCCTATCGAACCTCCAGCCCCAGGACACCCAAAGAGGCCTCACATTTCCAGCCTCTCTGGGAGCAAGCCCACCTTGGTGAAAACCATGGCCCCGGGGTCCCCCTCCGGCCCTCAGTTTTGTGGGTCCAAGGCAGGGCTGCTGTCAGCTAGGTAGCTTCTGCCTCCTGGACAGCAGAGTGCCCCCCCACCCCATCCCAGTCAGCATGACTGCGCCTGCCATGAGCCACGAGGACGTGGCAGACAAGCCTGCCCCTCCATTTGGCACTCAGCAGCCCTGGCTGGCCAGACCCACCCTGTCTGTGGCCCCTGAATTCTTGGCCTTCTGAGAGCCAGGCCAGGGCCTCTGCCAGGGAAACACCACCCAGCCCGGCCAGTCCACTTGGGGCCAGTTTCCACCTCGGAAAATCCCGGTTTCCTCAGTCCCACCCCTGGCGGGCCTGGTGACCCACAAGCCTTCTCCTGTTCCTTGCTGGCTGCTCTGCCTGCCTGGCTCTTGCACATGGTTTTCAACAAAGCAGCTGAGGGGACAGGCTCCAAAGCTACTTCCTGCCTGTGGGGCCTTGTGAGCATATTGCTTAACCTCTGCTGTGTCTCCATTTTCTCATCTGCAAAATGGGGGTGATAACAGCACCCACCTTTCCTGTTGCAATGAATAATAAGCAGGGGGATCTGTGAGAAGCACTGAGAATGGTGGGACTCCTGCTGCTGCTATTCGTAGCAGCTCTGCCCTGGACAGCAGTTCAACACTCAGGGTACATTCCCCGACAGTGTGCTCTTTCGCTCTCCAAACACTGTAGGGTGAGTGGAGTAAGGATCCTCCTCTCCTTTAGGGAGAGGTGACAGCTCCAATGAGTGGAGGAAGCAGGATTGGAACCCAGGACTGCCAGTGCCTGAGACCACTCTTCCCTGCTCGGCAGCGTGTGGCCACCTGTGGCTCCAGTGCGAGCCGAAAGGGATGGAGAAAAAATTGGCAGGCCCAGGCTCAAGGAAGCTCGCTCTTTTCTCTTGTTTTAGTAGAATTTTATTGATTTCAGAGAAGAAGGGAGAGGGAGAGAGAGATAAAAACATCAATGAGGAACATCATCAATTAGCTGCCTCCTGCACGCCCCCTACTGGGGACCGAACCCACAACTTGGACATGTGCCCCAACCAGGAATCGAACCGTGACCTCCCAGGTCACAGGTTGACACTAAACCACCTCGATCTACACTGGACAGGCAAGGAAGCTCACTCTTGACTGATTGGTCAGGGACACGGGCCAGGTGTCTGGGAATGGACTTCCGTCCAGTGCTCCTTCCACTGGGTCACATGGCCTCGACCACCTGTCTGCTTGCCTAAAGCCTCTGGGTCAGAGAGACCCTGTGCTTCAGAAATGGGGGATTGACTCTCTGCCCCTCTCCTCAGGCGCAGGCGGGCCTGGAGGCCTTGGAGGTCTTGGTGGAGCAGGTGTCCCAGGAGGTCTTGGTGGAGCAGGTGTCCCAGGTGGTGTGGGAGGTGAGTTGACACCCAGGACAGGCTGGGCAGGGAGGGGAGCTGCCCCGTGAAGAATGGCTCCCTGAGCTCCCTCTGTGTCCTCAGGAGTCGGACCTGCTGGCGCAGCTGCTGCTGCCAAGGCTGCTGCCAAAGCCGGCCAATACGGTGAGCACTGTGTAGAAGTGGGGGCTGCCAATAGCCCTCAGGGTTTGGGGGGCCTCAGACCATGCACCATGGAGCACTATTCCCTGACCTGCCCCTGAGGCCCAGCCCGCCTCCTGGCCCCACAGCATCCACAAAGCCTCCGGAAGCTCAGGCTCCGCCTGGGTACTGGGATGAAAGCTTCAGCTCTTCACAGACGAGCAGCAAGGGTCTCGACAACAGGGTTTTAACACCCAGCTCTCTCCGCAGGCCTCGGGGGAGCCGGTGGACTCGGAGCTGGAGGGCTTGGAATTGGAGGCCTGGGACTTGGAGGGCTTGGGGCTGGTGGAGTCCCAGGGGCCGGGGGCTTTGGAGGTGAGAGGCTGCTCTAGACTCTGTTAGTTTATTGTGTGTGTGTGTGTGTGTGTGTGTGTAATAGAGAGAGATTGAAAAAATTGAAATCCTTTCCATTTGCCACATCTTGCTCAAGTTGTCATCTCTGTGCCCAACTCTCAAAACTGTGGGGGGCCTGCCCCTTCTCGGGGCTCCTCCAGTGTTTAGAGGGGCTGAGCTAGCAGGAGCTAGGGCTGCTTCTTGCAGCCGGGATCCCACCCTCTCCCTCTCCTCTCCTTCAACCCACATGACCACATCAAGTGGGAGTTCGTTAGGATACTGATGGCTATGCCGTTTTCTGGGGAAGAAAACCAAAGCTCGGATGGAATTACTTTTCCAAAGTCTCTGCCATCCTGGTCGGCCTTGTGTTGACATGTCACTCTTTCTTGGGTCATCATTGTCTCTTTCTACCTAAACCCGCCCGAAATCTCTTCCTGTGTGCACCCCAAGACTGGACACACAGTAGGCACTTCATAAAGACTTTGGGAAAGATGGATCAAGGAGGGGTGGAGGGATGGTGGAAGGATGAGTCGGTGGGCAGGTGGTAAACAGTGAACAGGTCAGAAGGGGACACGACTGGGAGGGAAGGGATATTTCTGAGCTGTCATGTTCCCCACCTCCCCAGGTGTGTCCCCAGCTGCAGCTGCTAAAGCAGCCAAATATGGTGAGTGGCTCCCTGCTGCCCTCCTCCTGCCTCATACTCCCCATCCTGACCATCCCATCTCCCCCACCTCCGGCCTCAATCCTGCTCAGGCCTAACAGCCTGTCCGGGATCTCCCTGACCCCTGACCCCAGGGGAGGCTCAGGACTCCTCAGACTGTACCTTGTCGCAAACCCCATCTGCCCTCTTCTCAGGTGCCGGTGGCCTTGGAGGTGTCCTAGGAGCTGCCAGGCCTTTCCCAGGTGGAGGTAAGGCCATCTCTGCTGTGAAATCCTCAGCCCTGCCAGGCTAACAGGGGAAAGCTAGCATAGGGACACGAGGGAGAGGGGAGATAGGAAAGAGGAGAGGGGACAGTCCAGGAAAAAAAGCACCCTGGGCAGAGGGGCAGGCCTCGGTGTCAGGGCCACCGTGGGCCTTGGGCACCAGGCTGGCAAGCTGAGGTGATGGGGCCCCACACCAGGATGCCAGGCAGGGACAAGTTGTGTGAAGAAAGCCACTCTGGCCATGGAGAAGGGGAGGGGGAGCAGTGGGCAGAGAGAAAGAGGGGACGAGGCCAGAGTGGGTCCTGCCCCATGCCAACCCCAAGCCCCTCCTGCAGGAGTTGGAAGACCTGGCTTCGGATTGTCTCCGATTTTCCCAGGTATGCCCCGGCCTCCTACCCGGTGCCCGCGCTGCAGCTCTGGCCCCAACCTTGCCCCTCCCCCTTCATCTCCTGCTCAGGAGGGCTAGGTCAAGCCCCAGGATGGGTCCCCTATCCTCAGGTTACACCCCACGAGGCTCCCCTTTCCTCTTCTCTTCCTCCCTTGCAAGGCCGGGGAGCATCAGCTTTTCTAAAACACCACACTCCCGATGGGGTAAACTGAGGTTTCTAGAGTGCCAGGGACTTACCCAAGGTCACACAGTGAGTGAGGGAGAGTCAGGGCTCCCGAGCCCAGAACCTGGCCCCTCTCAAGCAAGGCCCCCACTGCCAGGAGCCTTGGCCACTCCCGGAAGTGGCACACTCACCGCCCCCCCTCCCCCCGTGTTGCAGGTGGCGGAGTCGGAGGAGCCGGAGTCGGAGCTGGGGGCCTGGGAGTAGGTGGTGAGTCTGCAAGAAGGAGGGGCCCCACTTCAAGCAATGCCCTGAGCTCCATTCCTGGGGTGGGGGTGGGGTGGGAGAGTCCTATTGAAGGAGTGGCTAGTAGGACAGCAACTCTTGGCTGGGTCCCTGGAGTGGGGGCTTGAGGAGAATCACAGAAGCTGACAGTTCAGCCCTGGGGTGTGGGGATAGGAGGCAAGGATTTTGATTCCTAGAGCTCCCAGCCTGGTCTGTAACTAGGTACCGGGACGGAGACAGCAGCCTGGGTCACCCTGGAGCTTGGGGTCTAAGAGGTGAAGCTGACCAGCTTCCATAGGAAAAGAAAGAAACTGTAAGAGAAGAGCAAGGTGCATCAAGCAGGTAGCCAGGGGGTCAAAACCCCTCTGATACCAGCATGTTGGCTGGCCAGGCTGGGGTCCGGCTATGGTGAAAGAACGCCAAGCTGCTCAGACTTCCATATGCAGGCTATGATCTGGAAGGCCTTCCGAACCCGCTGTGATAGGATCAAGGCCCATGTGGTGGGGGCTCTGAAAGAGGCGAGAAAGCCTGGTCCCCTCCCCAATTCCTACCTTCCCTTCCACAGGCAAACCCCCCAAGCCCTACGGAGGTGCCCTGGGAGCTCTAGGATACCCAGGTGAGTAGAGCCCCCACCCCCGGAAGAGAGCTGGAGGGAGGGGCAGAGATGGAGGCAGAGGTGGGCCCATCCGTCTGGGAGAGGGGGAGCACCTTTGGACTAAGCCTGGCAGCAGAGGGGAGGCTGGAGGAGCTGCACATTTCACTCATCCCTTCTTCTGCCTCCAGCACAGATGTCAGAGCTGGGAGGAGGCCCAGGACCCTCCATACTCACCCAGCCTGACCTGGCCTAGCAGTCCCTGCCTCCCTGCTGCCCACACGCTCCCCACCACCACCGCCCGCCCCCTTTTCAGGAAGGAGCCAAGAGAAAGAGAAGGGGCAGGAGAGGGGGAAGAACTCAGAGGAGCAGACACAGAGGGAGAAATGGATGCCATAGGCTTAGGAAAATCTGAAGGGTGGGCAGGGGGACCCAAGGTGCCCAGGCTGGGCAGAGTGGGCAAAGGCCACTGCCTGGCACTGAGCCACACTCTTGCACAAAATGCATACATGCTTCTGGAAGTGTGTGGGGGGAGGAGGGGGGTCCCGATCACCACCACCTCCCAAGCTCCTCCCAACAATGCCCAAGGGAGACCCCAAGGAACCGCAGCTCCACCCCTACGGTTGCTCAGACTGGATTCCCCTCCACCCCCACCTGCTTCCTGCCCCCCAGATGAGGCAGCTGAGGCAAGGCCAGGGCTGGGAGAGGCTGAGGCAAGACCAGCCTGGCCTTCCCAGGGGGCCTAGGGATGCCTGTGGCCACACCCATTGCCGGCCAAACACCCTGGATGAGCTTTGCACAGATGCCTGTCCCTGCCCCGCTTGGCTTCTCACGGCCACCAGGTGGCGATCACAAGCCATGTCTGCCCCCACGGGGGCAGTAGGAACTACTCCAGGCCCTCCCACCAGAACATGGTGCCTGGTGATTAGAAACAAGGTTTACCAATCAGACCCTCCCCAGGAGAGGATAGGTGTGCTGGGGTCCAGTCCCAAGTTAGCCTCAGTTTGCTTATCTGAGGCATGTCTGTGACACTATCTCCCTTATTGGGGGGAGGGGGTGCTCTGAGTCCCTCACTAAGGCTCCCCAGATGTAGTGGATTCAGAGTATGGAGACCTCGCCCAGGCCAATCCTTCCCAGACCTGGACCCGTGGCCGGGCCTCATCCCTTCCCTGAGTCTTGGTTTCATCACCACATCTTGAGCCCTGGTCCCACCCACCCGTCCAGTGGGAGTTTGTACGATGAGAGTTAGGCCTGGGGTGGAGCCCAGGCTTCTGGGGGCTTCTTGGAGCCTCTGTTCCCGACTGCGATAATGCTGGAGCTGGTCGGTGGGCAGTGGCTTGAGCAGCAATGGGGAGGGGCCGGACTAACCTTGTGTGCGCCCCCTCCCACCCAGGTGGAGGCTGCCTGGGGAAATCCTGTGGCCGGAAGAGAAAGTGAGCTTCCCAGGACCCCTGACTCACGACCTCATCATCAACGTTGGTGCTACTGCTTGGTGGAGAATGTAAACCCTCTGTGACCCTCCCCTCCACGCCCCCTCCCAAGTCCCCACCTCTGGAGGGGACAGAGCTGGCCGGGCGGACCTGGAAATCCACAGGACAAGGAAACAAGAGGACTGTGGCCGAGTGGGCCCTGGGCAGCCCCTGCTGCAGAGGCGAGGGGGGGGGGGGGGGGAGGGGGACCACCCACGCTCCGTCTCCAGGGGGACTTGGTGCTCAGTGTTGGTGCTTTCATCTTCCCAGGGAGGGAGGAGGGAAGGGCAGCCCCTCTGGAAGTCCCCTCCCTGGGGCTCCTCCGAACATGGTGCAGACACTTCCCGGGCAGTCCCACCTCCCCCTGCCCACCGGGACCCACCCCTGGCTGCCGTCCAGTTGGTACCCAAGCATCACAAACCTCAAGCTGGATTCGGTCACACCATCTCTTGGCCCCGCTGGCCCCCTTTTCCTCCACCAATCACTATTCCCCCATATTCTGGGGCACCTCAGATCAGAAGAACGCCAATGGGAATAGCCCTCTTTCTCTTGTGGAATTCACCCGCCCATCTGTCCGTCCGTCCATCCATCCATCCATCCATCCACCCTTGCCCTCAGTTGTCCGCCTGGCACCACTAGCTGGCTGGGCCCCCCAACCACCAACCTGGTTAATCTGTCATGGCAGCATGTGCCCTGCCTTGGCCCCACCATACACACCCCTACAAAGGGGCCCAGGGTGTGAGGGGCTGTGCCAGCGGGGGCGGCAGGAGTCTCCTCCCGAACCGGGGTCCCCCCACGCAGTACTGTATCCCCCGTCCCTCCCTCGAGCCACTGTACTTCACAGCATCTCCCATCCCCACCCCGCCCATCTCTTTGTGTCTCGCTGTGATAGATCAATAAATATTTTATTTTTTGTCCTGGATATTTGGGGATTATTTTTGATTGTTGATGTTTTCTCTTGATTTTATTTTTGTGATTAATTGAAAACAAATTTTTTTTCTCTCTCTCTGATCTGGGGAGCTGTATCCCCAGAAGAAAATTCATTTTAATCACTTTGGTATAACTCTGGATGAAACACACGTTTTTTTAAAATAAGAAAAGAGGATTAACTGCTTCAAAAAAAAAAAAAGACTAATAAATAAAAATATTTTAAAGGAAACTGTGTGTTGGCCTCCTCTGTAATCCCCTCGTCTGTCGTCAGCTCCTGGCCCAGGGAAGGCACAGGGCTCAACCTTGGGAAACTTCCGCTGTTCAAGGTGTATTTGGGGGCTGCTTACCAGAATCCCCTGCTGTTGGCTTCTGGGTATGATCCTTCTCCAAGTTCGGATCATCCTTTAGCAGTTAAAACCCCCTTGTAGGGGAAATAGGGCCAGCCAGTCCTCCCCTCAACACCCACACACACACACACCTGCCCACGGTGCGTCTCCTCTGGAGACAGACTCACCTACCCAGCCACACTGTCCCCATAGAACTAAGATGAGCACAGGAACTGGTGGCGGCCTCTGAGCACTGAGGACGCAGCTGGAGGGGAGGAGTAAACAAAAGTGACCCTTCTATCCAGACCAAACTCTTGGCCTTGGTGACAGCAGTACAGAAAGGAGAAAATGGCCCTACCTACAAAAACTAGAAGACATGCCAAAACCGGTTTGGCTCAGTGATAGAGCGTCGGTCTGCGGACTGAAAGGTCCTGGGTTCGATTCTGGTCAAGGGCATGTACCTTGGTTGCGGGCACATCCCCAGTAGGGGGGCATGCAAGAGGCAGCTGGTCAATTTTACTCTCTCACCGACGTTTCTATCTCTCTATCTCTCTCCCTTCCTCTCTGTAAAAAAATCAATAAAATATATTTTTTTAAAATAAATAAATAAATAAATAAATAAAACTAGAAGACATGTTTTCCTCTGAAACATCCGCTCTCTCACATGACCAAGTAAGGTTCCACTTCAGTTTCTTATAAACCATAACAACCTTGGCCAGTTTCTCTCAGTGGATAGAGCGTCAACCTGCGGACTGAAGGGTCCCAGGTTTGATTCCCGTCAAGGGCACAGGCCCAGGTTGAGGGCTCGATCCCCAGAGGGGAGCATGCAGGAGGCAGCCGATCAATAATTCTCTCCCATCATTGATGTTTCTATCTCTCTCTTCCTCTCCCTTCCTCTCTGAAATCAATAAAAAAAATATATTTTTTTAAAAAACTAAAACTTTCATTTAAAAATAAAATATAACAAATGTCACCTGCAGGTGGCACTGGGAGACTCAAGATCACGCTTAGATGCACCCATCCACAGAGACATCCCCCTCTCTTTGGGGTCAGAAATCCCTGGGGCCTGGGGCCATGCCTACAGCTCCCTTCTAGACTACACTCTGGATACCAGATTCCAGAATTCCTTCCCCAAACCACCAAGTCCACTTCCAGGGACCACATGGCCTCATGCCTGCATCTGACCTCCTGGGACAGACCCCAGGGCCAGTGACGCACCCCTATGTCAGAAGGGGGGCTAGGGAGCTATTCGTTGGGAGTCTGAATGGAGTAGGCAGACTGGACTATCTTGCATTTGTCCGAAAGGACCACTGCAGTGCCAGAAGGAGTTGGGATGAAACGAGAAAGAGGATGGGATGATGCTCAGAGACAGCTTCCTAGAGGCTAATAGAGTGCAAAAAGCAATGTATCAGACAAAGAATAAATCAGGGAGGAGGGTCGTGCCTTTAGAGCAGGGAGAGTGGCCCGTGTAAAGGCCTAGAGGGCAGGGCAGTGAGAGTGCCCTAGAGAGACAGGGCAGAGCTAAGAGGAGATGGAAGGTGAATCTGAAGTTGGTAGGGGGTGGGTTCATGAAGACCCACAGGGGGCTACTATGGCAATCAGAGAGGAGTGACAGCCTGCCCAAGAATAGTGCCAAAATGCCGGACCGGTTTGGCTCAATGGATAGAGCGTCAGTTTGGGGACTGAAGGGTCCCGGGTTTGATTCTGGTCAAGGGCATGTACCTTGGTTGCGGGCATATCCCCAGTAGGGGGTGTGCAAGAGGCAGCTGATCGATGACTCTCTCTCATCGATGTTTCTAACTCTCTATCTCTCTCCCTTCCTCTCTGTATAAAATCAATAAAATATATTTAAAAAAAAAAAAAGAATAGTGCCAAAGGAGATTTATTATTTCATTCATTCACTCATTCATTTATTCCTTCAACAAAAATATTCCTATGGTCCCTCTTCAGTTCTCTGGCCTCTGAAAGTTGGCCAACCCCAGCAGGGGGCAGCATAGCTGCTTTGGTTTCTTGGTTCATGGCTTTAAACACAATCCATGAACTGGCAACTCCCCAAGTGATAACCTCCAGCATAGACCTCTCCCATAAGCTGCAGTCTTGCACACCCAAGGCCAGTTCTTACATCTCCACCTGGAAGTCTCAAAGGCATCAATGCATAGCATGGTTCCCCACCCCCCACCCCCACCCCACCGTCCCCAGCTTAGTAAATAGCAACTCCAGTGGATCAGGCTTTCAGCTTGGAGCCATCTCTGGGTCCTCTCCTCCCACTCCCCATAGCAGATTCGCCAGCAGATTCTGTGATGAAACTACCTTCAGAAGATATCCAGAGTCCAGCCACTTCTCACAACCTCCAGGGGCCAGGCCCTGGTCCGCCAGCAGCTAATGCTTGGATTACTACACAGCTTCCTATGGTTCCCCGATTCTGCCCTGGCTTCTCCAAGCAGCCTTCTCTCCACACAGCAGCCAAAACAATTCTCTTACAACGTAAGTCAGTTCAGGTCATGCGTCTGCTCAAAATCCTACAGTGGCTCTCATCTCACTCAGGCACAAAGCCAGCAGCCTTTCAAAGGCTTAGAAGCCCCTACCTGAGTTGCACCAGCTGTTTTGACCTCACATCCTGCTACTCAGCCCTCCGCCAGCCATGCGGTTCCTTGGGCCCTCCTGTTCTTTCTGTGGGCAGCCGGCCCCCATTACAGGCCTCGGCGCCTGCTGTCTCTCCTGCCCAGAAAGCACTGTCCTCAGCTTTCAATGTGCTTGGCTCCCTCATCTCCTTCAGGCCTTGACTCGAATGTCACCTTCTCAGAAAGTCCTTCCCTTTCCCCTAAAACTCTCCCCTGTGCAGCACTCTCACCCTGCCCCTGCCTTCTTTTTCTCCAGATTTTCCTTCTTTTTTTATTAACTCTCCATAGCAGAATGTAAATTCCTTAAGAATAGACACTGTTTTAAGAACACAATCTATAAACTCCCTGCTTTCCCTAGTTGTATACTGTGGTAGACAAGATGGCAAGCAAGTGTACTGATAATGGCCCCAAAGGTATCCAGGTGCTAATCCCTGGAGCCTTATATTATAATATTACTGTGTTAGACTGGTTGGGCTACCATAACAAAGTACCATAGACCGGGATTGGGGGTCAGGGGTGAGGGCTTTAACAACAGAAATTTATTTCCTCACAGTTCTGGAGGCTGGAAGTCCAAGATCAAGGTGCTGGCAGGGTTGGTTCCTTCTCAGGCCTCGCTCCTTCACTTGCAGATGGCCATCTTCTCCCTCTATCCTCACGTGGTCTTCCTTCCCTTTGTGCATTTTTGTGACCTAATTTCCTCTTCCTATAAGGACACTGGTTTTATTGGCCTACGTAGGTTTTACCCTAGTCACCTCATTTTTACCCAGTTGCCTCTTTAAAGACTTCGTCAACAAACATAGTCACATTCCAAGGTACTGGAGTTAGGACTTCAATGTGTGTATGTGGGTGGGACATAATTCAGCCCAAATGTGATTAAGAGTATTGAGCTGGGAAGATTATCCTATATCATCAGAGTGGGCCCCAAGTGCAATCATATGTATTATTATAAGAAACTGAAAGAATCGCATGGCAACAACTTGGATAACCTACAAGAAATTGATAAATTCCAAAAAACATACAACCTACCACCTGACCAGCTTGGCTCAGAGGTTGAGTATCAACCTATGAATCAGGAGATCACAGTTTGATTCCCAGTCAGGCCACATGCCTGGGTTTTGGAATCAGTCCCCAGTGGGAGGCATGCAGGAGGCAGCGAGTCAATGGTTCTCTCTCATCATTGATGTTTCTATCTCTCTCTCCCTCTTCCTTCCTCTCTGAAATCAATAAAAACATATTATTTTAAAACAACAACAACAACAACATACAACCTACCAAGACTGAAGAAATAGAAAATCTGAACAGACCAATAACATGTAAGGAGATTAAATCAGTAATCAAACACTTCCCAATTAAAAAAAAAAAAAAAAAAGCCATGATCAGATTTCTTCACTAAAGAATCTTACCAAACATTTAAAGACAAATTTAGACCAATCCTCTTGAAACTCTTACAACAATTAAAAAGGAGAAAACACTTCCAAATTCATTGTAAGAGGCCAGCATTATCCTGATACCAAAGCCAGACAAAGACACCACAAGAAGAAAAACCTACAGAGAAGTGACATCAGCAAAATGGCTGAACAGGAGGTCTTCAGCCCTCATTCCCTTACAGAAACAATTCTAAAATTCATATGGAAGTACCAAAGACCCAAAACAGCAAAAGCATGAAGAACAAAGCTAGAGACATCACACTTCCTGCTGTCACAAAGCTGTAGAATAAAACACAGACATATAGACCAGAGGAACAGAACAGAGCACAGGCCCTGGCTTGCTCGGTTCAGAGGATGGAGCGTCAGCCTGTGGAATAAAAGGTTCCGGGTTCATTTCCAGTCAAGGGCACAGGCCTGGGTTGCGGACTTGATCCCCAGTAGGGGGCGTGCAGGAGGCAACCAATCAATGATTCTCTCTCATCATTGATGTTTCTGTCACTCCCTCCCCCTTCTTCTATGAAATCAATAAAAATATATTTTAAAATACATAAAATAAAATTTATTCTAGAAAAAGAATGGAAAGTACAGAAATAAACCCATGTATTTACAATCAACTGATCTTCAATGAGAGTGTCAATACACCCAATGGGTAAAGATAGTCTCCGCATACTAGTAACTGGTGTTGAAAAAGTTGGATACTGGATATTCAGATACAGAAGAATGAAAACGGACCTTTATCTTACACCATATGTAACAGTCAAGTCTAAATGGATTAAAGCCAAGGCCGGTTTGGCTCAGTGGATAGAGCGTAGGTCTGCGGACTGAGGGGTCCTGGGTTCGGTTCCGGTCAGGGAC